TGCTGATGATCAGGGGGCAGGTGTGCAGGGTATACCCTTTGATTGGTTGATGATCCATGGAGGGGATTGTAACCATGGCAATGAAATTATATATAATAGGATGACTGTAAAGCTAATGTTCTCCCATGTAAAGTGTCACATAATTCACAATAAAACAAACAAAAAAGAAATTGAATGACATACTGAATTAGGCAAATCTGTTGCACAAGATCTGTTTAAAATTTTGAAGAGCAAAGTGAATAAAGAAAATTCCATAGAAGAATTGATGCATTTGAGTTATGGTGTTGGAGAAGACTATAAAAAGTACCGTAAACTACTAGGAGAACAAACAAATCTGTGTTGGACAAAGTACAGTCAGGATGCTCGTTAACAGCCAGGATGACTAGACTTTGTCTCTCATACTTCGGACATGTTATCTGGATAGATTAGTTCCTGGAGAAGAACATCATGCTAGGTAAAATGGAGGGTCAGAGAAAAAGAAGATCCCCAATGAAATGGATTGTCATAGTGGCTCTAGCTTAGTAACAATTGTGAGGCAGGCAAAAGGCCAGGCAGTGTTTCGTTCTTTTGTGTCAGTGATGACTCAGCCGCACCTGGCAACAGCAATCCTAATAGATACTCCTCCCCTATTGTATGTAGACAAAACAGACTTAAAGAGGACAAATACTAAGATCACATACTCTTTGGTGCCCAGCCCTAGATTTGGTGCCCAAGCAGTTTGACTGCATGGCCACATTCTCCAGCAGTCTTGTGAGTAAGATAACATGTATGCAAACCATTGTTATGTAACAATACACACTTGTACATGGTAGTAAAGAGGCACTAAGTGTTGCTCCGGTGGGAAAAGAAGGAGATTATTTTCAGAGGAGATAAGACTTGAGCTAAACTGAGATTGGATTTGTTGTTGTTAAGTGCCGTGGAGTCAGTTCCGACCCATAGTGACACTGTACAGGGTTCCCGAGGCTGTAAATCTTTACGGGAGCAGAAAGCCTCATCTTTCTCCCGTGGAGCAGCTGGTAGTTTCGAACTGCTGACCTTGCAGTTCGCAGCCCGATTCATAACCACTACGCTACCAGAGCTCCTTAGTGGAGTACTAATTTACTAATTAGAAACAAGGAAAGTTATTCTAGGCATAAGAATTGCACGTTCAAACACAGAGTCCTGAGAGAGGACAGCTTATTCAGGGAAGAGTGAGCAACTTGCTGTTCTTGGGTCATGAGAACAGGCTGTTGAAGACAGGACTGGAGGAAAAGGCAAGGAGCTTGGTCATACTGTATTGTTAAATCAATGGGCTTCAATTTTCAGTGTGTCAAGAATCACCTTATAGTGTTGGTTTAAAATCAAAATTGCTGGCCCCAATTGCTAGTTTGTGATACAGTTAGATCCTGGAATTTGCATTTTTAAAAAAATTTTTAACAGCTAGAAATTTATGCTCTCACAGTTTAAGAGGCTAAAAGTCCAAATGCAGCACTGGCTCTAGGGAGAGGTTTTCTTTTTGCTGACTCTTGGGAAAGGTCTTTGTCTCTTTTCAACCTCTGTAGGCCCAGATCTCCTTGGAGATCTCCATGTGTCTTAGCATCAGTCTTTTCCCTGGATCTTAGAGCTTCATAATGCAGGGACTCCACATCCAAATGGCACACTCCATTCTTGGCTCTTCTTTTTTTTAATGTTTTATTGTGAATTATGTGATAGTTTACATGGGAGAACATTAGTTTTACATTCATCCTATTGTATATTGTTTCCTTGCCATGGTTACAATCCCCTCCATGCATCATCAACCAACCAAAGGCTGTGAGCTGACCACCTACTCCCTGGTGGTCAGCTCACAGCTCCTCTCCCTCTCTGGGTTTTGAGTCCCCAGCTGCACCATCTCTCCACGTCATCCTCTCTGCCTCCAACTCTGGCGTCACTGTTTCTCTGGATAGGGTCCCCGCTCTCTGCTCTTCTCCCAGGGACCTCCGCTTCCGGACTGCAAAGTCAGTCACTCGCCTCCTTTTGCTACAAAACATATATGTTTACATTTCCAACCCTCATAGTCACTCCTGATAACAATTATTCACTATTGTACCACAAGAGACCTATCCCCATCTCTTTTCATCAGCCCCACCCAGACAGATTGGATACTACTTGGATACTACAGGTGGAGATTCTACCTTCCTCCATGCCCTCTGGATCTAGGCTCCCTCTTGAAAGCTTGTAAACCAGTCACTTCTTGCCTTTGTAGCCCCCGCATTTTGGGTAGCCAGTCCAAGTTGCCCATGGAATATGCATTTTAACAGGGACTCTAGGTAATTCCAATGTAAGAAAGCCTCTTTCAGAAACACTGCTAAAAGTGTTTCGAAATATGAAATCAGTGTGCTAGAACATGACATGGTTACTGCTGTTGTGTTTTAGAAAAACAACTCTGCAGGTCACTGGAGTGAAGAACATGTTCATACATGTGATTTTGACATATTTGTTGTTGTTAAGTGTGGTCAAATTGGTCTTACTCATAGTGACCCTGTGTAGGGTTTCTAAGGAGCAGCTGGTGAATTTGAACTGGACTCTTGGTTTAAACTCCAGAAATAATATAAATTTGGCTTTTCTTAATGAGTTTAACATGCACACACACGCACTCACATGCACCTTTGGGTATCTTTGCTTTTAGGTGCTGTTGAATTTATGGGTTTATCTGAAAATGTGCTGGAAAGACAATGTCCACTTTTATTTGTTTTTCGAACCAAAATACCACCTTTTTTGTGTGTCTTGCCACTCTCATTCCTTCAGACTCTAGCAATTAGTGAACTGACAGACCAATGAACCAGAAATCAATTGTGAATGAATGAAAATTGGGTATTTTCATTAGGACTTAATTTCACACAGTGTAACTGGGGGGTTATTTAGATACGTTTAGCAAATTGCAATGTGTCTATGCTTTTCCATGTGAATAATATAAATTTTTTAATTTGGTATTTTTTATAAAATAAGGTTAAAAAAATTACTTTTGACTGGTTTGGGGTATTCATCTGAAGAACAGTAAGTGAAAACAAACAGCTTTCTAAAAATCACCTGTTTAATTTAATTACTTTTAATCAAATGGTGGTGCTTATGTGTCATGGAGCCACTTCCAGACTCATAGCGACCCTGTACAGGGTTTCAAGGCTGTAAATCTTTATAGAAACACAAAGCCTCATCTTTCTCCCATGGAACCACTGGTAGTCTCAAACTGCTGGCCTTGAGGTTCGCAGCCCATTTCATAACCTCTATGCTACCAATTGGCTTCCAAAAATAATGAAACCCCCATTTTTAAAAGAAAAATGTCATTAAATTCTTGAATATTTACAACAAACTCTTCTGGAATTAAATAGATAGATTCTATACATCAGAATCTCATTGGGTAACCAGAGATGGCCTTGACCAACTGGGGAATCTCAATTTTAGGATGCCAAATCACATATTGTTGTTTATTCCACACTTAAGCCTGTTCAACACAGATGGTAGGCATAAAATAGCTGAACTGTAATGGATTATGTCCAGAGAGAATAATAGATAGGATGTTTTTTGTTGACAGCAGAGTTGTTTTCACATTCCACTTGAATTAAATTATGCTCATTCATGCCATGGTACATAATCTCTGGCAAGGATTCTTAGAAATAGCCGTCCTGTGAACTCACTGCAAAATAAGGGGGGAAAAATGTATAGGATTGCAAAGTAACACTTTGAAGTCAATAGGCAATATAAAACAAAAGACTTACTACTAAACTGGACAGTGAACATAACTTAATTGTGACAGGCTGGTAAAATGTTTTAGGCTGGTAAAATGTTTTACATTTGTAATATGAAAAGGAAGTCATGCATTTATCTGACTACAGAAGAACAGTGTGAACTACTGATCCTAACTTTAAAATGTTCACAGCCAAGTTTGGTACATAAGACATGAGCAAATGAAAACGTATGTTAAAAAACTTAAGCAGTAAAGTAAGATGCGGTCCTCATGATTGTGAAGCTTTATAGAAATGTGCTCCAGACAGTATTGGTGTGGCACTGTGCAAAAAGCCCTGGACTGCTAACCACACGGATGGCAGTTGAAACCCACCAGCTGCTCCTTGGAAACCCTAGATAGGGTCACTAGAAGTCAGAACCAACTTAATGGCACTTAACAACAGCAACAACTACAGGAAGATGGGGAATGGTTGTAGTGGTGGCATTGTTGTTGTTAAGTGCCGCCAAGTCGATTCTGACCCATAGCGACCCTGTATAGGGTTTCCAAGGAGCAGCTGGTGAACTTGAACCACTGACATTGCAGTTCAAACGACTTTGCAGTCTGACGCATTAGCCCACAATTAGGCAGACATTATTGCAGCCAAAGAAGATGGCATGAGTGAATGAAATCTTCCTTGCTAAATTAGACGTTTTATACGTGGTAAACTCCCGATAGGGTGCTGTAGCATAAAGCACTGGAATGCTAACCACAAAGTCGATGGTTGAAACCCACCAGTCATTCCTCAGAAATCCTATACAGGGTTTCTATGGGTCAGAAAACCAATTGATGGCATTTAACAACAACAATTATATACAGAGTGTGGGTATGACTCATGTGTCTGTGGTTAATACTTGCATGAAAAGATCTGATACCTTGAAAACGTGTACTTGCAAAACTGGGTATCCTTTCATTTTCTCATTTGACGTTGAGAAAATGAAATTGAGTAAAAAGAAAACCAACTTCATAGACGTGTGATTTGTTTTACTTTCGTGTAGGAATTCAGACTCTGTGCTGCTGCAGAGTAGTATGTTACTATATAGGATGATAATAGTATGATAACCTAACAGAGTGAGCGACTATTTGGTTGCACTGAAAACGTTTCACTGCTCCAGTTAACAGTTCCATAGAAAAAAAAAGTACATATTGTGCAAAAAATGAAAATTTAAGAATTACTTACCAATCTTTTTCTTTTCATTTCTTACGTATACCCCACATCCTGTACTTTATTTTCTGAACTGCCACATGCTCTTCTTTCTAGATGTTCCAGTGGATTTGATCGTCATCGGCAGGACTGGGTGGACAGTGGATGCCCTGAAGAGGTATGTTTGTATTTAATTATAGCAAGGTTCCAGGGATCAAGATGTCGTATATAGATACTTTAGCTTAATGGAAGCTCTTTTTTATGATATATACTTTGTTGTTAAGTGCCATTCTGACCCATACCATAGCAACCCTATATAGGGTTTCCAAGGAGCAGCTGGTGAGCTTGAACCACCGATCTTGCACTTCAAATGACTTTGCAGTCTGACACATTAGCCCACAATGCCACACCAGGTTCATATATTAATACAGTAATAAATATAAAGTATCTATTTAATAGAAATTGTTCATAGTTAATATAATAAATATATAATAGTAAATATTATAAGTAGATAAAAAGAAAAATATCTATTTAATAGAAATTATTCATAGTTACTGAGCCCTAATAGGTGCCAGACACTGGACTTAACTATGGATGCATATTATCTCAACTTATTCTCATAATTAGTTAGTGAAGAAGGTGCTATTATTACCCTCATATTACTAAGAGGCAGAGATGAGGGCAGGAAGGTGGTGAAGGAAGGGTGGAGTATGAGTGCGTAGAGAGTAAGGAACATGGTTGGCGGTAGTAGAGCAGAAGACTCCATTATTCCTTTTATTTTGGCCATTAGTATCTCTGGTTCTCTATTTTCAGTCTTTTAGGTCTGTTGTTTTACTTTGAATATTTCATATCTGAGTTGCCTTCTAGGTGATATTGTCATTTCTGTTAGTCTCAGAGAGTTTGTTACTGGTTTTCAAAGAACTCCCTTTAGTATTTTTGTATGAGAATAGTATTGTAACCTAAAGAGTGACCAACTATGAAGTTGTACTGGAAATATTTCATTACTCCAGATAACAGGTCTATAGAAAAAAGTATATATTGTGCTAAAATGAAAATTTAAGAATTACTTTCCAATCTTTTTCTTTAAATTTCTTACCTATACCTCATGCCCTATACATTATTTTCTGAATAATGTGCTGTGGTTTTCATAAATTACTTTTATTCCTGTTCATCTGAAAATGACCTAATTTTACTATCATTTTTTTGGTGGACAATTTTGCTGAGTGTATGGTAAAGATTTATAATGAAATGTACCAAGTCCTGGAGTTAGGAAACCAAAGGGAAAGAACAAGTTCAAGGCTCAGCTTGGAAGATTCCAAGATTCCATGGGAAATTTTGAATGATGTTGCTGTTGCTAAGTACCATGGAGTCGGTTCTAACTCATAGCGACCCTGTACAGGGTTTCTGAGGCTGTAAATCTTTACAGTAGCAGAAAGCCTCATCTTTCTCCCACAGAACAGCTGGTAGTTTCAAACTGCTGACCTTGTGGTTCGCAGCCCGATTTGTAACCACTACACTACCAGAGCGAGAGCATTAAAAGACGATGGAAGGATTGGATAGAGTCATTGTACCAAAAAGACATGGTCAACGTTCAACTATTTCAAGACATATCATATGTTCTAGAATCAGTGAAGGAAAAAGTCAAAACTGGTGAAAAACAATGCTCCAGGAAGTGACAGGAAACAAATAGAAATATTTCAAGAAATCTATGCAGTACCAGAAGCATTCACTCATCTATGGCAAAAAAATTGAAAGACAGCTATCTAGCTAACCAATTGGAAAAGATCCCATATTTATGCTTATTTTAAGGAGAGTTGACTCAACAGAATTCAGAAATCATTGAATAATATCATTAATATTGTATGCAAGTAGTAACATTTTGCTAAATATAATTCAAAAATGGTTACAACAGTACATCAACAGAGAATTACCAGAAATTCAAGCCAGATTCAGAAGAGAACATGAAACGAAGAATATTCTTGTTGCTGTAAGATGAATCTTGACAGAAAGCAGAGAATAACAGAAAGATATTTACTTGTGTTTTATTGACTGTACAAAGGTTTTTGACTGCATGGATCCTGACAAACTATGGTAACATTTCAAAGAATGGGTATTCTAGAGCACTTAATTGTTCTTATAAGGAATCAGTATAAAGTATACTGGCTATGAATTGGGCTGCTAACCTTAGGGCCAGCAGTTGGAAACTACCACCTGTTCTGTGGGAGAAAGATGAGGCTTTCTGCTCCTGTAAAGATTTACAGCCTTGGAAACCCTGTTCAGGGTCACTAGCAGTCGGAACTGACTGTACAGCACATAACTACAACAACACATAGACCAAGAGTCAGTTGTGAGACAAGAACAAGGGGATACTGAATGGTGTAAAAGCAGGAAAAATGTGCACCATGTTTGTATCCCTTCTCCATCCTTATTCAGTCTGTATGCTTAGCACATCATCTGAGAAGCTAGATTATAGGATGAAGAACATGGCATCAAGATTGGACGAAGACTCAGTAACAACCTGTGATGGGCAGGTGTTATAACCTTGCTTACTGGAATTGAAGAGGGTTTAAATACTTATTGATGAAGATCAAAGAGTACAGCCTTATATTGCACCTCAAGGTAAAGAAAACTGAAGTTCTCACTGATGGACCAATAAATAATATTCTAAAAGGAGATCTGGTAGCTTAGTGGTTGTGAATCAGACTGTCATCCTCAAGGTCAGCAGTTTGAAACTACCAGTGGCTCCGGGGAAGAAAGATGAGGCTTTCTGCTCCTGTAAAGATTTACAGCCTCAGAAATCCTGTGCAGGGTCACTATGAGTCAGAATTGACTCCAGAGTACTTAACGACAACAACAAATGGAAAAAGGAGTTCTGGTGTGGCACGGTGGGTTAATGCGCTGAGTTAATTGCAAAGTTGGTTTGAATCACAGGGTTGGCGGTTCAAGCTCATAAGCCGCTCCTCAGAAACTCTATACGGGGTCGCTATGGGTTGGAACCAACTTGAGGGGCACTATTAACGACAACATCAAATGGAGAAAAAATTGAAGTTGTCAAAGACTTCATTTTGCTTCCATCTGCAATCAACACCCATGGAAGTAGCAGTCAAGAAATCAAATGACAAATTGCATTAGGCAAATGTGCTGCATAAGACCTCTTTAAAAAACAAAGCTATCAGTTTGAGTAAGGTGTACCTGATCAAACCCACAGTATTTTCAGTCTTCTCATATTCACGTGGAATTTGGACAATTAACAAAATAAGTCAGATTGTAGAAAAATTGATGCATTTGAATTATGGTGTTGGAGAAGAATATCAAAAGTATTATGGACTGTCTTGGAAGAAGTGCAGGCAGAATGCTCCTTGAAAGCCAAGTGGCGAGACTTCATCTCTCACACTTCAGACATATTATCAGGAGGCTCCAGACCCTGGAGAGGGACATCATGCTTTGTAAAATGGAGTGTCAGCAAAAAATAGGAAGGCCCCCAATTAGATGGATTAACAAAATTGCAACAACAATGGTCTCAAACGTAACAATAATTGTGAGGAAGGCACAGGACCAAACACAATGCTTCCTTCTGTTATGCTGAGTCGCAGCACATAACAAGAACATGGTTCTTGGCAATTTTTGTTTTTTTCAGTTTGATATATGTCATTGCCTTGTCTTCAGCTTGCCTTGTTTCTGCTGAGAAATCAGAGCTTAGTTTTTATTAGTTCTTTGTAAATAACCTTATTTTTCCTGAACTGCTCTCAGGATTCTTTCCTTGTCTTTTATTTTGAAAAGTTTTATTGAAATATGTCTTCATAGGTTTTATTTTCTGTTTTGTAATAATTTGGGGAGGTGGTCTATTCTGTTTGGAGTTCATTCAGTTTCTTGAATGGCTATTGAATTTTTCCCCTTCTTCCTTTCTGTTATTCCAGTCACACACAAGTTAATCCTCGTGATGGTATCCCACATAAATCTTAGGTTGTCTTAGGGTTGTTGTTATTCTTTTTACTAATTATACTTCTAGAAGAAGATTATTGACAGATTTCTCTTCAAATTCAGTAATCTGGATATTCATTGATTCAATTCTACTTCTTTGCCCTTTCAGTATATTATCTATTTCTGAAGCCTTAGTGTTAATCTTCTGGACTTCTAATTGCTGTTTTTGTATGGTTCCCATTTTTTCATTTACTGTATCAGTTTGTTTCCTGAATTATTCCATAGTTTGTTGTTTTATTAAATGTTTGTTGTGAATTATGTGATGGTTTACATGGGAGAACATTAGCTTTACATTCATCCTATTATATATCATTTCATTGCCATGGTTACAATCCTCTCCATGCATCATCAACCAACCAAAGGATATACCCCTGCAAGCCTGCCCTCCAGTCATCAGCACACAGCCCCTCTCCCTTTCTGGGTCCAGAGTCCCCAGCCGCACCATCTGTCCATGTCATCATCTCTGCCTCCATCTCTGATATCACTACTTCTTTGGGTAGGGTCCCACACTCCACTCTTCTCCCTTGATGGTTCCAGGGGCCTCCGCTCCTGGACTGCAAAGTCCGTCACTACCCTCCTTTTGCTACATTCATTTCCAACCCTCACAGTCAGTCCTGATAACAGTTATTCACTAGTGTACCACAAGGGACCTATCCCCATCTCCTTTCATTAGCCCCGTCCAGTCAAACTGGATACTACTCAGTGGAGATTCTACCTTCCTCTGTGCTCTCTGGATCTAGGCTCCCTCTTGAAAGCTTGTAAGCCAGTCACTTCTTTGCCTTTGTAGCCCCCCCCCCCCATTTTGGGTATCCAATGTCCAATTTGACCATCCCTGTCTACTCTGTGTATGGAGGGGGTGGGAATGATCATCGGTGTAAAGATGTGTTCCCTCTTTTGAGCTACTGCATCCAAAGGTGTCATTCCATAATTTTGTCTGTTTTTCATGATATCGTATGCAGTTTTCTCAGTCTCTCAATCTACTGAAGGTACCTAAATAACATTCTTTTGAATTCCTTATCAAGTAGTTTGGATACCATTTATAGCATTATATTTTCTAATTCTGTGTTTTAGTCACTTGTTTGAGGCAGTCTGTCCTGTTTCTTTGTGTCAGTTGAAATTGTCTCTTTTCTTCACAACATTGTGGTGTCTGATTTATTTTTAGTCAATGATTCTATGTCTCCTGGTGGATGCCTGGAA